TGTGGGGGATTTGCGTTTTTCAAAATTGATCTCCTGCAATGGCCTTCATCGTAAAACGTGTCGCTTTATTTTTGGACATCAGACTTGACAGAAATTTTCCAAAACAACCAATAGGAATATCGACAAACCCTCACACAGTTTTGATGATTGATGCCTCCTGAATGATATAATGCAGTAGCTTTGCTGATGCGGTCGAGTTTGATACCTGATAAATTCACTCAATGGAACGTCGGTCGTTTCGCGTTTTTAGGTCGCGCTCGCCTTATGATTAAAAAATTGAGGCAAAACAATTTTTATCAAATAGAGCATTCTATAACCTTTGCATTGATATATAATTTATAGTGGTTGTCTTTAAGACAGCGCGGTAATATTTTTTTTCGCTAAGGACACCCGCTAAGGTTTACGGTAACCTTAACCAATTTTGCGAGCTATTGTCTGTTCAAATTGTTTAAAATAAATTCCCCATGCTCAGGCTGACGCAGTTAACAGGAAGTGAAACTGAACTATCTTAGCAATGCACACATAAATTACTCAAGCCCCAAAATTGGCTGTTTTTGCACTTACTCCTTGCAGTAAGCCTGCTACCCTCCTCTGAGGATCATTAAATATGTGCATGCCATGTTTGTGATTTTCCATGGAAACAGTTTCCAGTGATTTAAAATCAAGTGGTTAAAAACTTTTCTCACCCCAGATGGTTTCTACAAAGCGCTTGCCTACTTCCAGTGACAATGTTTCCCTATATATAAACAGGCCCACACTTTTCTTGCTGCACAGTTCAATTTTGTCTGCCAATTTGAAAGTGAATATAGTTTGTCATGAACAATTTTCCATGAGATTATCTGAATTCCATTTGCAGGGGTTTCATTAAGGGCCAAGCACCAGGCAAATTGACTGACTGTGGGTACAATTTTGCCCGGCCAGTTTGACCATGCAGTGGAAAGTTTTTCTTACAAAGACATTTGAGCAGTTCTCATAGTTTTGCCAGCCTGTCAAAACCAGTCACCCTCCTGCTGAAAATGATAATGAAACGCAGCATTTGAGAAGCATGTGTCCATTTATAATTAAACCTCATCATGTAGCAAGCTTATTAACAGTGCATATCACTAAACTAACCTGATTTTGGTGCAAAAGAAAGTGGCAGTCGTGAAACTTTTCCCACCTCAAAACTCGGCTTGAAAGCAGAGATCTGCAAAAAAATCACAAGTATCTTCACACAGTCTGTTGTTTTACACAATCATGAAACATGATTTTTATGGACATCTTTTCATAGTAATTTTGTTTCAGTTTTCTAGAAATGTTTTTCACTCAGTGATGCTGGCTGACCAATGCCTAATATTATTTTCAAGCACACTTGACTTTAATCATCAGTAATTGAATGTTTTTATGTCATTGATACTAGTGTTTTGACAGCACAAAGCCAAATGAGCCATGGTGAAACTTTCTGAGTTCTGGTGACTTGGGCTTGGGCTGGAGGTTGGGGGCGGGGGGGATTGATTACTAGACCCACTCCATTTTGATTATCTTACTGTAAGTTTCATTTATCACCCATCAGGCACCACCAAGTTACCTTAAATGTACAATACAATAGATGGTATTAAAAACTGGATCATTAGATAATGCAATTCAACAGTTTTTA